ATTATTCTGCAAATGCGGCTTACCAAGTACTGTATATTAAGGCTGCCTCTAAAATTGCATTAATTCAATTACACATTCATGTTAATTTTTAGATACATTTAGAAATTTCTAATGTGCAGATATTCCATCCATTCAAAGTTGATATTTAAGATAACATTAAATATGATATCTGACAGATTTGAAAAGTTATTCTATGACCTGTTTATCAGGTGAAATTTCTTTATAAATATATTATGTGCTTTAATTGCACGCGATCTGCTGGTATTTTTAACTTGTTGAAATCATATATCATATATTTGTTAATTTTTCATGCACACATTGCTTGTTACTGGTGTGCTTTCAATAAATTATGAGCAGTCTTGAAAATGCAGAAAAAAATAACAGTAGTGAAATAGGACCTCCACTAATGTAGTTGAGATGAGAAGTTTAAAAATTAATAGTGCAGGTTGTAGCAAAAATTGAAGATTCAGCAAACCATTTGTTCAACTCTAGAAAGGGCAGGAAATTTTTGCCCAGAAAAAAATACATTCTAATAAAAATGGAGAGAAAAATGAAGGCAGTCTCTTGAATATTAAAATAAGAGCAGCATTTCTCAACTTAATTATTTACAAAGATGTCAATGTTACACATTCTTGCTGTGAATTGTGGGAAATGTACCAGACCATCCAAATATCAGCTTAGATAAAAAATGTTCTGACTGCTTTATTTGCCTTTTCCATTTTATGTAGACTGCTTCTACTACATGCCTTTCTTGCTTCTTTCTCTCTTCACATTATATTTCACCAAATTCTCTGTAGGAGTTGGGATTTTAAATCTTTGACAAATTGCTGTCTATTAAATTTCTTGTCATAAAAACTCATGAAAAGCAAGCCCCTATCCAGATTGTTTGTCTTCCACTTTTCTTATCTCAGTTGGGATGTTGTTGGAGTAAAAAAACAGCTCTGCTTTACAGAAAAGCTACCAGTTAGATATATGGCAGATGCTATTTCCAATTATGTAACAAATGTTTCAGAATTTACAACTACCAGAATTTGCTTAAAGTGGTACATAGAAATCAGACTTTCTTTAAAAGACTTAATGTGCCCTTGTCTTAGCATCTTAGCATATTTTTAGCTGAGATTGCATGTCAGAATGCCTTCTCATTTCCTTGTCAACTTAATCCTTATCAGAATTTGGGATTGTTAGGTTTACAGTTCATTCTAATCTGATGATACATGGCTATGTCCCTCTATCCTTTAATATCAGGTTTAGCTTCTCTTTAATATGTAATTATTCAAAATCTGATTTATGAGGAAATCTTGGAAAGTTGAAGATCCTTTTGTGTGTGTGTGTGTGTGTGTGTGTGTGTGTGTATGAAAACATGGAAGCACACTATCTCCCTCGTGCCACAGACCGCATTTATTTCTACTTTAATTTGAATTAAGATTTGCTTTCAGATTAATTTTTTTTACTGTGATTTCTATAAAGATTTTTCATTTCCCCCTTGATACTAGTTGGCTTATTGATGGGGAAAGTTCTATGAATTGGTAATTTTGATGTTTAATATTGTTTAGTTCTTTGACTGTGTTTTATCAAGTAATACACTAAGGGTCATGCTTTACCATGGTTAATAATTTTATGTTAATACTTGAATTCATTCATTTTGACATGCACTACATTTTAAGGTAAAGTTTGCTTGATAGAGTAACTAGAGTAGCCTAATTCTAGACTGAAAATTTTTATAATTTTCTGAGAAATCTAGGAGTGCATATTTATAATTCCTGCTAGTTTTCTTGTTAAAGAGGCTCTATTTAGTTTATACATAAGTAAATGTTCAAATTCAGAATTCTGTTTTGAGTGCTGCAATCAGTACTGTTTTAAGACTGCAAAGGGTGAAGCTATAGCCATGATAAGAAGCAGAATTTCCTCAATAGAATGTTTCTTACCAAAGCAATAGTTCTTCACCAAAAGTCCAGTGACAATTAAAACAAGATTTTGATAGAAAATATGTAAATATGCTCCATCATCAATAATAGATGATCAATAAAAGACCTGTTTATCTAATTAAAAATAGAGCTGCTGAGAACAAGGAGTCCAGAAACTGCGTTGACGATTGGAAGTATGTGGCAGAACTGGCGAAAACAATTGGGAGTATTGATAGGTTGCCAGAGTCAGAACCCTAGGGAAGATGAAACTAAGAGTTCCTTCCTGGCCTATTCATTGAATGCATAAAAGTCAGAACCTGCTGTCATGTATGAAGTTCATGCAGATTGCAAAAGGAGGCATTGTTACTTTTTTGTGTATTTGATTTGAGACTTTGCTACCTGCTTCAGTAGTGCATGAGCTGCAGTGAAGGATCAGCCCAGAATTTGGATGCCCAATGATATGGTCCTTGTTGAATGGTATTCCAAAGTCTGTAGCTAATGGAAGTGCAGTCACTTACAATCCAGTCTATGCTGTTGTTTTCTCCCGCTTCCCTATTAATACTTTCCAATTAATACTACTGGAACAAGTGTGTCTGCGTCGTCAAAATATAATTGAAGTGATTGAATAATTGAAGTGATTGAGCATATGTTTGTGTGTTGTGCTGTTCAATGGAGCTTAATCCTAGATAACTTTCAGGATCATAGTATTATCAGCTTAATGAAATATCAGTTCATCTTTAAAACATAATCATTTCTGAAACAAGGTCAGTGAAAGATCTTTTAAACTGTACCCATCAAGGTTTTTTTTTTCATACTGTGTTGAAGTAGTAAGTATTGCTGCATATAATTGTCTTTAAAGTAAAAAAAAAGCTACCTATTTGAGCTAAAATATTTGCCATTGGTTCTCTCCCTTTGGAAGATATGTTTGGATGACAGACGTTTCAGCATTCTGTAGCATTTATGCATTAATGGAAACTTTAATGTATTAAAATAATTGGCTATAGATACCTAAATACTATAAAAGTAGGGGTTATTTGTCACAAACATTTCTCGCCTGCTTCAACTTCTGTCAAAATACACTGCAAGTTTAGATGTTTTTAAGAGCTAAGTTGTAGGTGCGAACCCTGTGTCTGTGAAGTAATTTGAAAGGTTTTACTATATTTTAGTGAAGTCACACTTCTGCTACTGTATTGCTTGCTTTTATTTCATTTTAATGTTATTGGAATGCATGATACCACTTGATATATTGCAGTTCAAAAGGCTGAATGTAAATTGTTTTATCAGTTTAAATGCTATCGCTTGCTTCATGTAAAACTCTGAAGGTGTTGATTTTAGGAGAATGTGCAGAAATATTTGTTGGTTAATATTGACAAAGTTGAGCTCTGCTGCAAATATAGTGTACTTGTATAAAAGTATTATTTAACTGAAACTCACAGAAGTTACTGTGAATATAACTATTATAATTGTCTGAATTCAAGTTTTACCACATTTAGCATCTTCTTGTTTGTATTGTATATAACTTGTTCAAGCAGAAATTAAAACTTGTTCAACACATCATTGACCTTTAATTTTGTTTAGTGTACTAATAAGTACAAGTTTTTAAAATTGTTTCAGCTGCAAAGAAATTTTTAAGAGCGGACTGTATTTGATTAAAGAGACCTTTGTAAAATAATGATACAGTTGAATTTTGATTAAAATTAAATGCAGTGTTCAATGATAAAGAAAGGCATCATATGGTATCACATATAAAATAATACCATATGCAACAATATCCAGTTATACTGTAGCTTATAACTTTGTCATTAGTTATTTTCTAATTACAAACAGGAATAAATCAAAGGAAAGAGTTATTGCATAAAAATATTCACCTTCTGCACCTGTAATACATGTAAAATAGCTCACAAAAATAAATATTTAACAGTTGTGATAGTGAATCATAGTAATAAAATTATTTCACCCAAACTGTTTCTTCTTTGAAGCTTATTCTTGTCAGAAATATAAGTCTGTTTCTCTGTGTGGTTGAACTAATACTTGTTGAATTCTTTTAGAATTAAAGGTTAAAACCTCATCATATAGTCAGCTGACTGTGGCATTTATCTAAATGATGGTGAAAGGGAAATATTCCTAACTGAATGACTGTACTGTAAATATATTAAAACTGGCATTTCCCTTTCTAGTTGATTCATTAGGTATTCAGAAGTTTTGCAGTATCAGACCTAATTAGCATTCAAATTTTTAAAAAATCACTAATATGTCCTTATAGACTTGAAATTGAAATTTAAAAAAAAACTTAAGAAAAAGAAAACGGCACATCTTTTCTATATTATTGCTAAGAAAATTTAATGGAGTGTCTGAAGTCATCAGAAAGTCCTTGATTTGAAGAGAACATTACTTAATTTTTCAATATTGAGTCCACAATCAAGACATATTCTTTATTATAAAAATAGAAAGCAACAAAAGTCAGCATCAGCATAATGGAAAAAAAATAGCAGTAAGAAGTTGCTAGAAGAAAGTAATATAGAATAATAGTACAACATAAAATAATTGTTATAATTATCATGATACTTTTTAAATTATAAAATTTTTACATTGCAGAATTTATTTTAAAATGTATATCCAGATATAATATCTTTAGTCCCATGTGCCAAGTTTTCCTGTACTGTACCTATCATCAATATTTAATGTAATTTCATTTGGAATTTTGGCAACGTTTGGAGAGCCTCTGAATAGATTTTACTGGATATTCTGTATAAAACTATCTAGATTAAATTTAACAGAATTGAACTCAAAATTGGCAATAGCATGATTCAGTCATGTTCTCTTCTTAGCTGGTGGCCAGTAGTTAGAGCTTTGTCAGATTTATCCTTAAAGAAACACTACCTAATACTCTCGCTAAGTTAAAAACCCAAGGAACCACATTATACTTTATATATAAACAAGAATTCAAAATGCTTTGCATTCACTTCCCATTCTGAGCTATAATATTGTAATCTGGTTAGATTTAGTGGCAAATGAATAGGTCCTGTTTTGTATCTAACATTTGCTTCAAAAAATTATTAATGCTTAGCTTACACTGAACCACATTTTGGTCTCATCTTTTGTACATGCTTTGAAAATACAGACTTAAAGAAACCACTCTCAAGAAATCTAACATTCCCAGCTAATGTCTTCTTATAACAAGGATCTTATATTAAGACATTTATTGTACTGAGCTAATTCAAAGATCATAAAAATGTGCTAGCTTTTCAGTTTGCCCTATCTTTTCATCCCACAAAATGAAATAATGGGTTATAGAAAGGAGATATCTGATAAGATAGAATGTTGAGTAGAGTTACATTTAAAATGCAAATAATTCTCTACTCAATAAGTTCACAGTGTTATTACTAAGATTTCATGTTTTTTAAATACTGAACTCAATATTTCCACATAAAACTATAGTTTGGCCAACTGTAGATGAATCTATATTCACTAACAATCCTGCTTGACACACCAAACATTACTAAAATATTTTAATCAGATCTGAAATATCAAATTTTTATTTACTTTTTTGTGAAGTCACCTACAAGAAGACCATTTCACAAGGTGAGTTGGTAAACAAATCTTAGTAAAATGTTTTGTCCCCAACTGTAATAGTAACATAACAATATGAAAATGGAATAGCACGTGCTTCCCATGCCAAGTCATTCAAAAAAGCCTGGAAATCAATTAATATCCACATAAGACATATATACAGGAAACAAAATATAATTGTTTTAATATGGTTGGGTTTTTTACTTTTATTAAAAACATTAAAAATAATTTTCAGAGCATTTGAAGGCATGACTAAAATTTGTTCTGAACTTTTTATACCAGAAATAATTAAGATTTCCACATAGCTGAAGTCCCTGAGGTGGTTTTTTAAAATTAATATTACTATTATTTCACAGTGATATTAATAATGCTTACATCTTCATAGGGTTTATCTGTTTTTGGATTAACTTTGACATTTGAAATTCTCTGAACAACTTCCATTCCTTTAGTGACTCTTCCAAATACGCTGTGCTTATTATCCAGCCATGGCTGTTATGTGGTTGTAATTAGTTGACATGCGAAAATAAACAGAGAAATATTAAAATTGAAAGTAACAATATTGAAAATTGGATCCTATAATCTGTAATTGAGGGAACATTTATATACATAAAAATGGCTCTTGGCTGGAATTCTAGGAGGCATGCATGCAGGCAAATATTTATTTTATTTAATGAATTTATGTTGCCGCCTATTCACCTATGGCAACTATATATACATATTTCTACTTTGCAGTTTGTTTCTTTTCTAAATGGCTAGCAGGACAAAGAAAAAAAAAATAAGTATGCCACCTTCTGTTAAGGGAAATGACTGATTTTATTAACATGGATTCTATTTCCACTTATGATTCTTATGGCAATATAAAAAGACAACAATTCAATATGATACAATTATTTCATTTCAAAACAAATGTGAAAAATACAATTGAATTAATGCTACTTAGTGCCATGGACATCTTGGGATCTAACTCAATTCCAATCTTAAGGTCTATGGGTCTATGCTTATATTTTTTGTTGCCTTCATTTACTGGTAAACAACAAATCTGTGTTTTGAGTGGTTAGATCTTTCCTATTATAGTCTGAGGAAAACTGTCAGGATTGCACCTAAATCACACGTAGCAGATAAAATACAGAGCCAATTAAACTTTCTTAAAATTCCTGTTCAGATCCTCAACTCTCTCAATCCTTGTCTCTCCCCTAGAATTGTTTTCATTTCAGCTAGATTAAAGGTGAGCAATGAGGCTTCAGGTCCACATGCAGATCTCAAGCTCCTTTTCTGTGATCTTCAGAAAGCCAGCAAAAATGCTGGCAGAGTGTCCTACCACTATGGAGATGTCCCAAAGTTGCTTTTTCCAAAAGGCAACTGGATTTTGTTCGTATTTTTCTTTGGAAACATTTTGTTTCGCATTCATACTACTCTTTTTGGATGAGAAGCAAAACGTTTTCAAAGAAAAAAACCCAAGAAAGTCCCGTTGTCTTTTGGAAAAAGCACCTTTGGGGCAATTGTGGAATTTCTATTGACATTTATTCTTGAGATGCAACAAAGTAATTCTTAAAATAAGGTTAAGATAATTAGAAAATAAAATCCTGCTTTTATTCAGTTTGCAATATCACACAGCCCATATCACACAGCCCAATATCACACACCCCTTCATTCCACAAAATATCATAACCTGAGCAACTGACAAATACCTGGCATGTTACTTACCGTTGGTACTACTGTTACAAAGAATTGTGAGCCATTGGTGTTTGGTCCTGCATTGGCCATACTAAGTGTATACGGCCTATCATGTCGTAAAGTTGCATGGAACTCATCTTCAAATTCTCCTCCCCAGATGCTTTCACCTCCCATGCCAGTGCCAGTAGGATCACCAGTCTGAATCATAAAACCCTGCATTCAGCAAAAAAAAAATATGGTCTTAAGTTCACATTACCATTTTAATAATGCAATGGCAGTCCTACTGCATCAATTTAATGCCCATTCTTCACACCCTACTGATTAATCAGATCTCCCTGAGAAATTCTCAAGCAGAAAAAACAGGAATGGAGTATTAAATCACTCTTTTGAGACCTAAGCAGTTGGCATTCACGGGAAGTACCATGATTACTAGTTAGATTAATAGTATTTGGAGAGATTTCATAATGTTGTATCTCTATGCAACATTATGAAATCTCTCCAAATACTATGCTCCAGAGTTGCCACATACTGTCCCATAAATTTCACAACTCGTGAAAAGATGTAAAATACAATCTAGTAAAAAGTATATCCTTTAAGCCAATATTTCTCAAACTTTGAAAGTTTAATATGTAGACTTTTAACTCCCATAATTCCCCAGCCAGCAAACCGGGAAATTCTAGGAATTGAGGTCTATATGTTTAAAACTTGCAGAGGCTGAGGAACATTGTTTTAAGCAATCCAGGATATATTATAATTAATGTAGCAAGAATACTTATTTAATTCTCTAATACAAAAGTGTATTAAGTGTTAAGTGTATTTCTAAACTAATCATACCAAATACTTTTGAGAGAGAATATATATAGCTCATGGCTTAACTGTGAAGTCCTTGGTGCGCTTTGAGCTTGGTTGTTTGCTTGCAGACATTTTGTTACCCAAGGTAATATCACTGTGGACTAGTGTGGGGTATAGCAGAGACTGTAATACGGCAACCATAACACTCTCACATGTACAATCAAAAGAATGGATCCAGTATGTAGGTGACAATTTTCCTGTAATAAAAAAGCCATAGCTAGAGAAGACATATGAAACAACATCTTTAAAGGAATAAAATCACAAGGAAAGTAGAAAACAATACAATACACTTCCTTTATATTCTCAGAAGAAGAAGAAACTACAGCAAAATACAAATACAAGTCTATTGAAAAACACCCTAACCTCCCACAAGTGGTGCTGTGTAGCAATAAAAAGATTCCTGACCACTCAATCTATTGCAGCAAAACAATATAAGCTATGGAAAGAGTAACTACCATACATCAAAAACATCTCAGAAACAACAGCCTATTACAACCATGCAATAACACTGTAGCACATAAACTCTCCAAGACATTTTAAGTCAGGGGTATCAGACTTGCGTCATCACAGGGTCATCACATGACATATCTGGACTTTTCTCCCCTTTGCTAAACTAGGCAGGAGTGGGGCCAATACGTGACATATCCAGCCCACGGGCCATAAGTTTGACACCCCTGTCTTAAGTAAACCCGAACACTCAGTAGCCCAACAACAACAACAACAAACAGAAGTCATCTACAACATACAGTGTAAGGAATGTAACACTAGGTAATACAGACAGCGGAAGACTAGCAGAGCACATTTGTGAACACCTATTAGCAGTCAAACCACATTGTCAACTTAACCATAGTTTCAACTGGGAAACTGAGTCTATTAGAGCCATCTAAATCCAAAAACTTTAGGGAAATCCCAGAAGCCTGGCATCCAGACAAATCATCCATCATAGAAATAAACCATATTTACACCCATTTGAAAGAGACAATAAAAAGCTCAGAAGAAAACAAAAATTCCAGAAAGCCGCCTCTCAAGCTGCCAGCACCCAGATAAGCAAGGACTAATACTAGACAAATAATCAACAGAAAACAACACCCCAATTAGGAGAAAGTACCAAGGGGGGGAAAAACTCCACACCCCACCAAGTAAGCTACAATTTACAGAGAGCAAATCCTGCATCACTTGAACTGAAGATGTTCTCCAATTGAGTAATAAAATGACTTCAAGCAAACAACCAAGCTCATAGAGCATCGAGGACTGCATAGACATGAAAACCTGTGCACATATTCGAAACATACAGGTATGACCATGATTGAGTCCAACATTTTTGTGAGACATTTGTTAAGTGAGTTTTGCCCCATTTTATGACTTTTCTTGCCACAGTTGTTAAGTGAATCATTGCAGCTGATAAGTTAGAAACCCAGTTGTTAAATGAATCTGGCTTCCCCACTGACTTTTCTGGTGAGAAGGTCTCAAAAAGTGATCATATGACCTTGGAACACAAACAGTGATCATAAATATGAACCAGTTGCCAAGCATCTGAATTTTGATCTCATGATCATGAGGATGCTGCAAAGGTCGTAACTGTGAAAAGAATCATAAGTCACATTTTTCAATGCCACTGCAATTTCGTAAGGTCATTAAGACTAGGATTACATGTAATTGCCTTAAAATTGTTTCAATATTTCAACTGCATGAGTTAGTTATACAGTTTCAGTGATGGAGCTTAAGCTTTATTAAAAAAAATATTATTTTTTTATTTTATTAAAAATCATTATCATTTTATCTAATGGCTTGATTCCCAAATTAAATGCACCAATAAAGTAAGAGCAACATATTAACTTCATATTAACCATATACATTTTAAATTTATTTTTACTACAACTTAAAATATTGGCACAGATTTGCTTCAGAAATACAAAATTTGTATGACTTGTAAAGGGCTATAATTAACTAGGTAAATCAAAGCTACAGCAACTTTGCTAATGTAAATACTCTTGGTTCAGTGTATGAACGTATATTATAAATGCTGAAAGGGATGAATAGCCATCAATTACCTTTATGATCCGGTGAAAGGTATGTCCATTATAGTAACCATTCCTACTGTGTACACAGAAGTTTTCTACTGTTTTGGGGCACCTGCAGGCAGAGAGTTATCCTGTTAACATAAAGTGTGGCTGCCCAATGTTTTCACTTAGACTTAAGAAGGACCCTACTGAGCCAATCTAGTGTAGGATTTTTTTTTATTACAATGAGCAATGCAATGCTAGTGGAAAGGCTGTAAACAGAACAGGAATGCAGTGCCAACTCTTGTGTTCTCAAACACTAATACTCAGAAATAATGCAACATCAAAGTCACCTTCATAACTAATACAATATTTTCCTACATTAAAATAGTTTAAATCCCCATTCTGTAAGTTTGTGTGTAATGAATGAAAGGAAACCAAATGCCAGAGAGCCAGTAAGAAAAGGAAAAACTCATCTACAGGTGGGATTTTTAGAAAAATTGTCCAGCTCTCTTTTGTTTTTCCCTTTTGCCTCTTCTCTCAGAAGGGGATCAAGAGCACGCCTTCCTGGATTGTCTTAAAGTCAGATAAATCCACTGCTCCAATCCCAGTTTCCAGTGGAATAAGGATTAGTATTTTATTTTATGAAAAATGAGTTATACTTGGGTGCCTTTGTTATGCATTGTTCTCTTTCATTTTGTCTTTTTTCTGTGGGTGACTGTTGGAGTGTGCATATTTCTGAATAAAGAAAGAGCAACTGAAGGTAATTATTGCATTCATTTTTCCCATTCTTCCCTTCACCTTTCCATTTCCATCTAACTCCTGATCCACACAATAAAGACATACATTCTTATTGAATCGGCATTCTCCTTCTGAAAGGATTGTAACTTTAACTCCCCAGTCAAACAGAAGCACAAAAGAAGGAAGGCAGAGAAAGATGTCACCACCACATCTCCTATGGAGTAAAGTAGATCAGGGGTCCCCACCCACCGGTCCGCGGACCGAGACCGGTCCGCGGAACAAGTCTTACCGGGCCACTGGTTGCTGGGCGCCGCCATCTTTTTTTGATAAAAAAGTGCTTCCGGTGAGCTTTTCCGGGTAGAAAGCCATTTCTACCCGGAAAAGCTCACCGGAAGTGCTGGCGCCGCCATCTTTTTTGATGAAAAAGTGCTTCCGGTGAGGTCACCGGAAGCACTTTTTCATCAAAAAAAGATGGCGGCGCCCAGTTGATGCCGGTACCGGGCCGCGGCGCCCAGCTGATGCCGGTACCGGGCCGCGGCATAAAAAAGGTTGGGGATCACTGAAGTAGATGATTTGTCAGGAAAAGTATTTAGCAACTGCATTTTCCAAACAAGCTCTCCCCAGAAATGTGGAGGTGCAGGAGGAATTGTGGTTAGGTCTTAGGGACACCCCATTTTAAGGAATGAGAAAGGACAACCCACTACATCCCAGGTAGGTATGCATTTGTGTATGTTCTATTACACTGTCTGTCATTGCATCTTGTATTTGTGAAGCCATCAATTTAAGTATGAATAACGCCTCTTCGGTTTTTTTTATAAGATTTGCCTGTACTGTAGTTTGCAATATATGAGAACAAAAATAAGGACAATTCCCCTTCTTCTAAAGTTGAAGTTTGATTCTGATTATCTTATGAAGGGGGAAAGAGTGTACAAATGAAGATTTGTTCTGTTTGGTGAGAAACAGAATGAACGTTTTCCTCAGCTTTCAATGAGAATCTTTTTTTCAGATGAATATGCCATACCAGAAAGCAGCTGTGGGATTGGAACAAAAGGAATATCCACTACGTTGGTGAAAGGTCCAATAATAAATTTAAAATAGTTTTCATATACATACTCAACAGGAAACAGTTTGACATGGATATCTCCCATGCTTGTGTGAATAATGGCACTATCAGAAACTCTTTTGGGCCCTTCAGCTTGGGTGGCTGCCATGACTTCTTCTTTAGATGGTTTCTCATTGAAGACATCTCTATCAGAATCTGCACTCTTGGTGTCTTCTGGTTCACGTTTCGTAAACTGAAAGACAAGGCAGATGAATCATAAAACCCTGCACTGTTAAAGTTCACTCTTGTGAATTTACAGAATTACACTTGTTCTTAAAAAGCTGTACAATCAGTCTGCTACTGAGTCAACTTCTACATGCTGGATTTGGCATGTAAAGCTCTACAATGATTAGGATCTAAATATCTGATGGATTGATTTCTTTCCTCTATAACATTAAGAACTGGTAGATATATTTTGTGTTACATTTGCAAGAAATTTACTATGCAAAAAAATTCAAATGTAGAAAAATATATAGATAAACTTGAAAAAGGACTGCATCCTCAATGACAGCAATAGCTAATTGCTTCCATAACACTATCAAGAAAAGTGCATGAATGCAGTCATCAGAAATCAACTTTAAGTACACCTTAACTTTTTTAAAAAATGTGGTTATTTTTGGTTTAAAAGAACATGGAACATATTGCTGACATAATAAGTTCTCTGAATCTAGTGCAACTGTGCATGAAAATAGCTAGTTCTGTATAATGTCACCTAGAGTAACTAGCCCTAAGGAAATTCACAATTCAACATGGATGCATATACAAAAGTTGGAATTGTAACCGTATCTTTAAGTACATAAGAAAAAACATATTTTGGGAGGTGTGGGGTTATGGGGTGTAGATGCTAATTCATTTGGAAGCTGTTTGGATTTGGATGAGATAATACAGGTCGAAACAGAATTGCAGAAACTGTTTGCTTATAAAGGTTCTTTGTAAGCTCCAGTGTTAACTCTGGATGGGGAAGTATTATTCCTGAAGGAACAGGTTTTAAGGATTCTCTCGGACTCATGCCTATTGTTGAATGAGCAAGTGAAGCTGTGGCCAGGGAGGCATTTGCACAATGTCACTGGCACCACATTACAGCAGTACTTAAAGCAGGAGGACCTGTGTTAGATAACACAATATGTTCTACATCTTTGAACACAACTAACAAACTGCAATTTCTGCAAAATGCAGCACTCAAACTATTGGCAGGTGACAGTAATTACCTTTCAATCTTTTGATTGTGCACCAATAAAATTCTATATGCTTAGATTCCAGATGCACTCCTCTATATATCCTTGGAAAAGCTGCTTTCATGAAGGGGAAATGGCTAGGGCCATTAATAATATTTACTGATGAACTTCCATTAGATACGAATCATTTTCCATTGAACGGTTGGGCTTGCATCTATCTAGTTAGCATTCTGGAAATTGGTCAAGATGAAGATTTGGGGGGTGGGGTGGGGGGAGAGCGTCTGGCTATGGTTGTGTTGCATATTGTTCTTATCAGCTATCTATTGTGTATCAGGTAACTATATCAATATGTAGAGGCAGTTTGGTGTAGTGGTTAACACAACAGGCTAGAAATCAGGAGATTGTGATTTTTAGTCCCACGCTAGGCATAAAGTATTACTATGGACCAGTCGCTCCTTCTCAGCCCTGGAAGGAAGCAACACAAACCACTTCTGAAAATGTCGCCAAGAAAAATCATGACGACTTGTATAAACAATCACCAGGAGTTAACATGGATTTGAGAGTATAAAACAGTGCTTATATTGTTGTATTTCTTACACTTCTATTATTAAGTTCTGGCTTTCCTTAGAGATTATAGCAATACATAAAGCAATAAATTAAAAGATAAAACACACCACATAAAATCTGTTCTTTTTAAAGGCAGTACAGATTATTGTTGGATCTGCTTGAATGTTCTGGAGAACAGGATTGTCAGATGCTTTCATCTCAACAGTAACAGCAGCCCGATGTTTCTTTGGCACTCCCTGGAACAGAGCCAGTTGCGTAACTCTGATATTCTCCTGTTTACCTAGAATTCTCACACATCTATATTTAGAAGGTAAAATATAGGATCACCATTAAGTTTCTAATTCATCATGCACTCTTTACTCTTGAATCAACAACATAACACAAAATATTGTCTGTCAGGAAAGATGTTTTGTGGGTCCTATTCATGAAGGAATGTCATCTGATAGGATCCAGGAGGAGGGGCTCCCCCTAAGGTCAGATTGGCCTCAACTTTGATAACTTTCTAGAAAGGCCTGAAAATAAGGCTTTGTCATCTGCCTAGGTATCCAGTAATGTGTGCATGTAATCTCTAAGATAGTATATTGTTCGGGAAAATTGACTGCGCTTTTCTGCAAATTATATTTGTGGTTTCAATGGTTTTACTGCTTTTAATATTTTAATACTTTTTGTTATTATTTGTTCTGCTATTCTTTAATAATTTGTTTACCACCTAGAATAATGTATGTCAGATGTGTGGCTATATACATTTATCAAATAAATAAATACATATTTCATAATGTCTAATGTCATAGAATTCCAGCGATCGCCCTAATTAAATCATGAGCCTTGAGCCAACTTTCTTATGCCAACTTGGAAACAAGTGTAGGAATGTTTTACAAGTTGACAGTGTCCTTTGAATACACATAGCAAAATTGAAAATCAGAGTCTGACATGGTAGCCATTTTATCCCATTAACTTGTTTCCTTCACTACCTGCCCTCCCTCCAGCCTCCTCACATTGGATCCCTCAAAGACTGATGCATACCTACTCACCTATGGGTTTTGTTTGTCTTGTTTTTGGAAGAATGAGAAGTACAATTCACCCTCCCCCATGAAAATCTAGAAGAATAATACTCTCCCCCCAATTTTTATGTAAGTAAATTATAATTATCATATAATTAGTTAGATATAATTAGGATTTTAATTTTCATGACTTTCAATTCATATAGTTTGACTTCAAAATATTCTATGGAATGCAAGTGACCAAAAAAACTAAAAATAAGAGCATTTATGAGCACAGTGAGAAAGTTATTATATGGTTCTTTTGATTTAATGATTTAATTAGGGTGACTTGGAACCAAGGACTTGGTTCTAATTTTAGCAATAGTTCTATTGCATTGTCTTCACAAAGGATTATCAAACCATGTCTGGAAAATTTGGGAGGGAAATGTAATGTCAGACTTCATTCATAACGCAAACATACATATAATCCCAGTCTGAAAATTACAAATTCATCTCTTTTCTAAGCCTTGGAAAAATAGAAATATCTATTAATTTTCAATCAATGAAATTACTGCAAGAAGAATTTGATTACTTAATACCACCCAATATCAACTCTGTCTTATTCAATTAAGATTTTGATCCAATGCATTTGTGTATCTAAAACTCTCAAATGATCGATGCCATTAGAATGGTTTTTAAATACTTTTAAATCTAAAATATTTTTATAAATGATTAAGCAACATCATTAAGGTAGATATCAGCTATTTACAAGAACTTTGAAATAACCGAAATATCCAACTTTTCAAAAATTAGTGGCAAAGGGTTTTAAATCATACATTTCTTATTATTGCAAGATAAAACTTAATAATTATTTGAAATGTATACATTTATGTTTGGTAAGACAACATTCCCCAGAATTCTGATTTGCAGTGTTTATGTGAGGCAATATTTATATCAAACACAAATGTGAAACTGTTAAATAAAATAGGAATGCTGAGGTTGAATGCTTTAAGATCTCTAGAAAAAATTCCTAACATTACAAAATCATGCTAGTTACAGTTAAAAAACCAGAATTTCAACTTACCGATTTGTTTCCACGTTGATAACTTTAATTCCCAACATTGTCCCATAGAGCACAAAATGTCCAGTTTCATCAAAAATGATGTTAATTAACCTTACTGCATCCACCTTTTCCAATTCCCTCTCCACAGCCATACGTCGTCCAAATTCCATATCAGGGAGCTGCTGTCTCATCTGCTGTAGCTCAGTAAACATCTACAAGATGACATTTAGCCATAAAGAAAAGGAAATCTACCTGAGTCTTACTATATTATCCATTTTATTAATGCTTAACACCATCAAGGATATTGTATTTTTTCCATAAACACTACAATGACTTACAATTAATATAATCAAACAAGCATTAATTATGAAATATTACTGTTAATTCAATACTGTCAATTCATTTATTTATTGCCATTAACTGCATCCCCAAACTGCCCTTAAAGCAGAAAATTTCAGCATGAGAGATAATATACATATATTATGTATATTATAATATTGACTATGTATCAGAATGGTCAAACAAATGGCAACTTCAAATCTCAACAAATAAATGCTCTGTCTTACATATTGGCAAAAAAAACCAGAAAATAAAATACAAGCTGAATAGTCAAGATCTTGTTGATGACCCAAGCTCTGTAAAGGACCTTGGAATACTCACCTCTAATGATCTAAGGGCTAGAGCCCACTGTAACTACATAGCCAAAAAGGCATTAAGAGTTGTTAACCTAATCCTACGTAGCTTTTTCTCTGGCAATATCACACTACTAACCAGAGCATACAAAACATTTGCTAGACCAATACTCGAATACAGTTCATCAGTCTGGAACCCACATTACGTATCTGATATTAGCACAATTGAGAAAGTCCAGAAATATTTCACAAGAAGAGTTCTCCACTCCTCTACTCGTTGTAGAATACCTTATGCCACCAGACTTGAAATTCTAGACCTAGAAAACCTTGAATTACGCCGTCTTCGGTCTGATTTAAGCATGGTATATAAAATCATACATTGCAATGTCCTACCTGTCAATGAATACTTCAGCTTCAACCATAACAACACAAGAGCACACAATAGATACAAACTCAAAGTTGACCGCACCAAACTTGATTGCAGGAAATACGACTTCAGCAACAGAGTGGTCAATGTCTGGAATACTCTACCCGACTCTGTAGTTTCTTCCCCAAACCCCAAAAACTTTAACCTTAGACTGTCTACTATTGACCTCACCCCTTTCCTAAGAGGTCTCTAGGGGGTGTGCATAAGCGCACCAACGTGCCTACCGTCCCTGTCCTATTGTTTCTTTTATTTTTCTTTTATTTTTCTTATATGTACCCATTTCATGTATTCATAACTATGTATACACTTATACTTATTATCTTGTAAACAATTGACAAATAAAATAAATAAAATAAATAAAAAAAAATATTTTATATTTTAAAAAAATATAGAATTACTTAATGTGAGGTCCAGGGGGAACTTTGAGCCTCTTGTTTCTCATAGGGGCACCTCCCCATGAACCATCCTTCAAACAGAAGTTCGAATGGCCCCATTAGGCTTGAGTTTTAAGAAAGCTTGAGTTGTTTAGAAGGGCATTGAGTTAAGAACTATCATCAGTATGCTTATTACTATCATAGTAATAACACTGTGACACAACTATTTTATTTTAATAATTTCTGAAGGGTGTTGACGGTGAAATTACTATTTCTGTATTAGTTGTAATTATTTTGTTTTTTACTGAATCTTGCTATGTATCAGCTCATATACTGAACTGTATTATTCTAGTTAATCAAAGAATTAAAGCTGTCTAGCGGGGGGGAAACCCTTTGAAAATAAATTAATCTTTTAGTTCTTTGCATAGATTTTGCATTGAACTACGGGCTGGATTAAATGCCCTCTAAGATTATTTTATGATCTAAACTTTCTGTAAAGTTTGTTTCAAAGTGTTAAATATAACAGCATTAGTTATTAGAACCTTTATTACAATCTAGTAATCCACACACTTCAAAAGTATGAAAAGGAAAATGGAGCCAAATGGTGGCATTTTCTTATTAACATACCGGTAACACAAAACTGCTACAGGTTAAATATGAAAATAAAAACCCATTTCTTACAAAAGAATTCTTATAATCAAGATAATCTCATCACTGAAAGAATTAAAAGAAACTACTGGAAAGCGAATAAATATAAGAAAAAAATACTTACACTCAAAGATTCATCAAAGACTCGCATAAGTTTTCCTGTTAAGAATCTGAAAATCCGGACTTTTCTGTCAGAGCCAATAGTAGCCATTTTTTTGCCATCAGAGGAGAAACTCATACTGGTTAGGTAGGCTTTACATTTAGCAAATTCATATAAATCAGTGTCTGTTTTATATTCCCAGTGCACATTCCTAGGAAATTTATATTCATGGGAAGGACCAGTCCAATATTCAATCATTCCAGACTTGTCAGAAGATACTATGATTTTAAAAACAGAATTCAGTCGTATCTGAGTAAGAGGCGATGTATGTAGTTTATTAAAAATGTGAAGCGGCTGATTATTGCCTCGACCATCGTATATAAATATTTTTCCAGTACTCTTCTCAGAGGCTGCAACTGAAGAGATAGCATCTCCTGGGCAATAGACCCACTCACACTGGCCCGGATGGTAGCTGGAATGAATAAGACAGACATAATATTAGGACTCTCTTTATTCCAAAACAAATTTTAAAAACTATAAGGATCAAAATGTACAGAAAAATTAATGTATTTCCAAAGTACAATACACTATAGCCTTATTTGTAATAATATTTATTAGTTACTAAATCATTCAATGTATATCTTACTAGTCATTTAATCCTTAAGCAGTCCAACTCTGGATATATTCAGAAGTGCTGTTAAATAAAGTCCCCACCATCCAGTCAGAGCTGAAGAAGCTTCCTGGATGAGAAGCAAAATGTCTTCAAAGAAAAACCAGAAAGTCCAGTTGCCTCTTGGAAAAAGGCATTTTTGGGACAATCATGACCTGGATGACTGAGAATCTCCATAGACACTCACCAAAATTAGCATCTTTGTTTTTGATAGTCATTGTTTTCTAAAATGCACAACTATGTATAGCTCTTTCCCTTCCATTGGCAAAAGAATGCAAGCAATAAAACCTACTTTAATGCTTTGGTTACCATAAATGACTAATTAAATCCATAATAACAATATATTGCCTCTGATTTTGTGCAATCTGACTTAAAATACACTGAAAAGAAGTTAATTTATTCATTACTTAGTCATCAATCAATTTCTAATGATATTTTAGACAAAATATCCTAAATATTTTGGCAATCAAACCAGTATAATTGCAAATATTAAGTGATTTACCCAAGTTTCAACATGTTGATCATGTCGAAGTTCACCACGTCAAAAACTTTCATTGCTTTATCATCCCCAACAGAGCAGAACAGCGCCCCTTCTGAGCTAGTTGCAATGCCTTCAATAACACCTATTGTGGTTAAAAAATAACTTTCATTTGAGAAACTGTTTGAACAAAATGATTAAAAATGAGTTATATCATAAACATTGAAAGATGGCTATAATCCTGTAACACTTCCTATTAAACTTTTGAATAGATCTTTGTAGGATATTGCTGTATGGCAGGTATCCAAACATCACTAGAGATTTGAGGGCCACCGTAATTTTCTGATATCACAGCATGGCTTCAAACACAGTCGTGGAAGTGTTCAGAAGTGTTTTCTTTATCAGGGGTCCCCAACCACCGGGCCCCGGACCGGTACCAGTCCATAGAACATTTTCTACCGGGCCGCCGGTTTGCTGGGCACCGCCATCTTGTTTTGATGAGAAAGTGCTTCCGGTGAGCTTTTCCGGTTAGAAAGCGGCATTTGGGTCCTGAAGGAATCCTCGCGCCTTAGTTTCATCGAGGGGGGGGGGCGGCTTCAAACAAAACTAAGGCGCGAGGATTCTTTCAGCACCCAAGGCAAGGCGAGCCGAGCGACTGTCCCGAAGCCGTCCCGAAGCCCATCGACAAAGGTACAAAGGAGGAGTTGAAGGTGGCGGGGAGAAGTGGGGGACGGCTGGCTGGCCGGTCGCTCGGCTCGCCTTGCCATGCGTGCTGATGCCGGTACCGGGCCACGGATCATTTTGTGATGCTGGTACCGGGCCGTGGCACAAAAAAGGTTGGGGGCCACTGTTCTTTATGATTTTGAGACATTCAAAAGAAAATTCTCAGATGTCTGTATTTTGCAGAATGTAATCTTTTCAATCCCTTACTAGAATTGCTAATTAATTTTTGTCTGCTTCTGCTAAATAATGTAACTCAAGAGACAGACTGACACATATCTCTATAGTAACATTTAATATTGAAAATTTATATTTAATAGAACAGAGAACAAAGAAAGAAAGGCAATATAAAAATTTACTAAGCAGATACACAATAATTTACCTAAATGGCTACGAAAATGTTTAACAAATTCAATTCCTTCTTCTACCTTCTTCCAGAATTTGACATGTCCATCATGGCTGGCTGTTATTATGAAATCTGTTCTGCAAATACAATCATATGAAAGAAATAAAGGTCTAGATCTAAAGATTCCAATGTGCTAAAAGGTGTTGTACTTCTCTAGTTTTACACACTGATGTTTAAGACACACTTCAGATCTTAGTACGATAAAACTATAAAACTTGAGCAAGGATCTGGAACAAAAGGAAAGGAGTGCAAGGTACCATTTTTGAGAGAAACCTTGTCATTTTACACCAAACTTCCTAAGCTCATTAATTCTTTCAAAATATATCACACAATTTGAATTAAGCCTTCTATTGAGTTTAGAACTCTGGATTATGATGTGGATTTACCCCAAATAAGTATTCTAGAGCACAATTCAGAAAACCTTTCCACAGAATTTGAAGCAGGATTCAGCTAACCATGCTGAAGCTAAATCGTACATCTAAACTAACTTTTAAGCAAAAAATTTTTTTCTAAAAGAGATATACAATGCAACATTAATAAAAAAAATTAGACTTACTTAGAACATACTACATGAGTGATGACGTCTCTGTGCATATAACTACGCTCATACATTGAAGCACTGGGAAGATTATCAAGGTAAACATGTTCAAACTCAAGAACTATGAAGTAAGAAAGAAACATTTTTAATGAAAATGCTTCACTTAGATTTGATTTAAAGCAAAATTTAACAATACTTTTTAGTCAGAGCAATGCAAATATCAATAATCTCAACACACAGCTATTTGCCTTAGAGCTATGCATAATTTAATCCCACTACAAACAAGGAAATATGTGTAGGATTACATGGCTGAAATCCTTCCTTTCTAATTCATTTTTAGAAAGATAATTAGATTTTTATCTTGCTTTTTAAAAAATATATTTTGATCAATTCAAGATAGCAAGCATACCTAACATTCCTGCCTATTTTTTCACAACATATTAATGGGACCCACAAAATTAATTGCTGTGTCACAATTTCTTGGAAAAGCATTCTTCCAAAGACTTATATGTCCACCAACTGGCCTATTTAAATGAAGCCTTAAAACTTGCCCTCCCCCACACAGGCTTTGGGTTGGGTTGGATGATGAGTCCATGATGGATATACTGTATGTTGAGAGGTGCTTCATTTTGTCTAGAAGACTAAGTATCTTTTTCTCATTACTGTTAATTTATTTTTAAGATTGTACACCACCTAAGTTGTTAGGAAGTCTGAGGACCTTACCAATTTAATAAATAAGCAAACAAACTTTTATAAGAAAAATAATGATGAGTTTGGGCACTCTGGTAATTAATTTAACAACCTGACATCAGTTTAAAAAGGATAAGTAGGGGTAATATAAATTTTCTGTAGAAGAGCTAATAAATAGCATTGTGGAATTTCACAATGAACAAGCTAATCACATGGAATGGTGGGGGTGTTCTTAATGTACAATAAACTACAAAAAATTTAACAAGTCCTAAAACCAATCAAAAGTGTTGGCAGATTTACTAACAAACCAAATAATACACCCAATGGAGTCAGTGGGAAAAATAACTCCAAACTGTTCATAGTAAATAGTAATCTTGATAACAGTAAATAGTAATCTTGATAACAGTACTGACAAATGCCATAATATGTATGGGTTTACAGGTGGATTTAATCATGTGAAACCTAAAGGTTTACAGATAAAAGTCTATAGATACAGGCTTGAAACTTCCAGGAAATAGACATCAATTTAATCCACAGATCTGAAAATTCAGTTCAGACTGAGAAAAACTGCTCTAAATCAATTTGTGCGGAGTGGGAACTTGTGATTTAGAGACAATGACTAGGAAACCCAGCCGGATTAGATTTAGGTTGCAATCTTGCAACTCTGTACTTGGAGTTAGATAACATTAATCGCAGTAGGATTCCCCGAGGAAAAAGTGTCTGGGATCACAGTGTCAGGATTGACGGGGCTCTTCTTGAATCTTCCGGATTAATTTTATTTTTATTTAGTATTGATTAGCTTTTTATGCCGTCATTATTACTTTCTTTTTATTTATTCAATTTCTACAGCCACTCAACTCAAACAAGTGACTTGGTCCCTGGTCCTCCTTTACCTCTTCTCTTTTTCGCCTGCACAGCCTCCCCAGGGAGGGGCCCAACCCAACGCTCTTGCTCTTTGTCTCCTTCCTCCTCAGACCCTTCATGTTTTTCTGCCACCTCCTTCTCCTCCTCCTCTTCTTCCTTCTCCTCCTCTTCCTCCTCCTTCTCTCCTCGAGCCCTTCTTTTGCGAACGCATCCCGCCGACGCCATGTTGCCTTACGTCATTTGACGTAAGTCGCCGAGGGCCATCCGAGAGCCATCCCGCGGTGACGCATGTACGCCTTCGCCCGCTCGCCTTTCGAGCGGCCAATGAGAACGCAGCCCGCGCGGATTTGGACGCGAGAGGACGTCCTCGAGTGCCGGAGCTCCCCGTTGAGAGGCGAAAGTGGGGTCAGAAGGAAGGAGCAGAGCTATTGCTATGGTAATGTCGGATGGGAGGCAATGCAATTCCGGGTAGAGGATTTAGAATAACTTTATCGTTACTTTAAATGTACACTTAATCGGCATACATTAGCATGAAATTTACCGGTAGTTGCATACAGCTCTCAAAGGGTCGTCACTTCCAATATAGAGCAACGGTTGAGCGGCACGAACGCCTCCGTCCGTTTCATTGAAAAGACTGCAACAGAATGACGAACGGCTGTCTGTCCGGGAGGGTTAGGGGAAGGTGTGGTATACCAGATGTCGTTGAACAACATCTGGCAGTCCGGGTCACTTGGGATGAGGCTGCGAGGAAGCTATGATTCAGCCCGTGGGAGGTTCTTAATCCCTGCTCTAAAGGACTGCAGTAGTACTGTTTATAATTAGTTATATTTTTCTTTGTAGTATCTTCTGTGGAGCTTTTTTAGTACCTGGGTTTTTTATTAATTTTTATTTTAAAAAAGAACTTGCTATAAAGTAAAAAAAATTGTTTAGGTATCGACTGTTGATGCGTGTATGCTGGTTTTGCTTAAACTGTTTTATGCCCTGTTTTTAGTTACAAGCTCCTTTTATGTCAGCAATAAATACAAATAATACTGTTCCTAGGCTGAGAAACTTGCCAAGAACTTTTCTGCAGATATGCAAGATGTGTCGAGATCACCTGGCATGTTATTAGATTCAGAAAATCCCAAAGAACAACTCATAGAAGAATGTAAAAAAATGTGGAAACAAGTGGAGGAGGTAATAGGCAATAATTACATGTATTTATGAGATAAGTGAAGCTATGAATCTGAATATTTGCTGTTAATTTCCTTGTTTCCTCCTCAGCCTAAGCAGAAAGATGAACTATCATTACAAAAAATCATTAACTTTAAGATACAAATAAACATTTCCAAAAAACCTTTTGGATAACATAATCAAAGTGTTGGTTCTCCCATTATTTTTAACATAATGCAATGGAATAAATTATAAATAGAAGCTGATTGTATCTTAGAGTTACAGATACAGATAATCAGAGTTGGAAGGGACCCTACACCATTTCTGACAAATGGCAGTCCAATCTCTTCTTGAAAGTCTCAACTGAGGGCGCTCCCACAACTTCCGAGGGCAACTTCCGTCCCATTGGTTGAGTGTTCTCACTGTCAGAAAGTTTCTCCTTGTTTCCAGGTTAAATCTCTCCTTGTTCAGTTTCCATCCATTATTCCTTGTCTGACCTACAGGAGCTTTAGAAAATAGCTTGACCCCTTCCTCCCTGTGGCAGCCCCTCAAATATTGGAAGACTGCTACCTGGTCCTTCTTTTTACTAGACTAGCCAAGCCCAGTTCTTGCAACCATTCGTTGTATGTTTTAGCCTCCAGTCCCCTAATCATCCTGGTTGCTCTTCTCTGTATTTTTTCTAGAGTCTCAACATCTTTTTTATAATGTGGTGACCAAAACTGGATGCAGTACTCTAGGTGTGGTCTTGCTAAGGCTTTATGAAGTGGTATTAGTACTTCCATTGATCTTGACTGTATCCCTCTATTAATACAACTTAGGATTGCATTCGCTTTTTTGGCTGCTGCTGCACACTGCTGGCTCATATTTAGCTGGTTGTCCACTAACTCCAAGATCCCTCTCACAGTTACTGCTATTGAGCCTGGTTTCACCCAGTCTATATGTGTACTTTTGGTTTTTCTTGCCTAAGTGTAGGACTTTTCTCTACATTGAATGTCATTTTATTAGATATGGCCCAGTGTTCTAGTCTGTCAAGATCCATCTGGATCTTGAGCTTATCTTCTTGGGTGTTAGCTATTCCTGCCAGCTTAGTATCATCTGCAAATTTGGTAAGTTCCCCTTCTATTCCCTCATCTAAGTTGAAGATATTGAAGAGTACTGGGCCTAAGACGGAACCTTGTGGCACCCCACTGTTTACTTCCCTCCATGTAGATATAGACCCATTAAGGACTACTCGTTGAGTACAGTTTGCCAGCCAGTTGCGAATCCATCTAGTGATGGTGCTATCTATTCCATTTTTTTCTAGCTTACTAAGAAGTAGGTTGTGGTCTACTTTATCGAATGCCTTGCTGAAATCTAAATATATTATGTCCACAGTATTTTGCTGGTCTACTAATTTGGTCACTGTGTTGAAGAATGAAATAAGATTGGTTTGGCATGATCTGTTTTTAACAAACCCATGCTGACTGCTAGTTATTACTTTACTTGTTTCTAGATGTTGGCAGATCTGTTTTTTTATTATCTTTAATATCAGGAATATTTTTAAAACTATAAGTGTTATATAATATAAATAAATTTATCTACTAAATCTTAGACACGATTAATCTAAAAATGTTTTGTATTTAATCTCAATAGGAGATAAATCAATCAAACTGATCTGCATCTTAAATAATAAACTTTTAAGTGGAGTTAAGTATATGCCTTATAAGCTTACATTTAATTTTTATAACCTTCTTTCCTTTGAAGTGCCATACCAAATTATCTCTTCAAAGTTTTGAAACTCCTCCAGTTTCAGATCTCAAGGTAAGAGTAAAGTTTCAGAAATTTTCTAAGCAATGAAACCTTGTCAAAAGGCTAATTGGGGAGATGGGATTTGTGTTACTCAAGAATGTCAGAAAGTAGGGCAATAGGGATTGAATTTACCATTGATGCAAATTGAAAAATTACTGTGAAAAGTTTGCAAAATTTGTTTCATTGGTTAAAATGGAACTTCACAGTATAATATATCGACAGCATGCTATGACAGTGAAGGCGTTGGATTATCAGCAGGAAGTTTTGGTCCATTGTCATCCACAAAAGATTGTGTGACTTAGGACTTACAAGGTAGTTGTCATGAGAAAAAAGCAAAAAGGGGAAGTACTATTTTATCTAATTCTAGGATTCTGATTCTGCTGAGTTTCCAGCATCATTGATATGCTGCTGAAATTGTAGGTTAGCAATACACGAAAGGATGTCAAGTTGATGCAAGTATATCTTAACTTTGTTCTGAGAACATAGATTTTGCCTGAACATGAATTTCATGGGGCAAATTATGCTTCTCAGTCTCATGCTTCAAGTGAGGTAGTTTTGAAACTATTTCACGTACTGTATATGAAATATACACCTAGAATTGTTCAATAAAGAGATGGGTGATCTGCAAATTTCATAAATAAATAAAAAATAAATACATGTTGAGATAATGTTTAAATTTTGCTATGTTTGACAGCTTTCATTGCTAACGAAGCGATTCAAGGCTCTGTCGGCTGAATTTAACCAATGGCAGACAAGAGAGCCAGAAAGTAAGTTTTTTTTATTTGGATTGAATTATATACAAAGTTATAAAATCTGAAGTATAGAATATACACTTGTACCTTCTATAGAATATATAATCATTGTACTACATTAGTGCCACAGCTTTTATCTGTGGCATTGTATCATATGTTGGCCAATATTAATAAAATATGTATTGTATCATATATATTCTCTTTATTTCACACCTAATTTTCTGTCTTCAATGAGCAAATTTAAGACACTATTCCTTATTCTTATATCTTTTGGAAAACAATTCTATATTTTTGCTTTGTTTTTGTTAGCAATGAAATAGTACACTAACATTGATAACATTCTCAGTAAGTCTCCTTCTTCTTGTCATGTCTTGTATTCAATGATCTGCTCTGTGTATTTAGCATATTTATATAGCTACCTAAGTCACAAACATGGCTGGGCAGTATAAATACAACAGGAGAACTCTGTAATAAACTCCAAGCAATAAAAATAAAATAAGTGTAAACATATAAAATAAATAATCAAAACCCAAGAAAGCTAGAGAACAAATATTACTTAATCTCATCCAGCTACATTGCAGGCTCTCCTTGGGACCCCCAAGGCTGGTGAAAAAAAGTGTTTTAAGGGCCTTCCAGAAGGTTAATAAAGATATTAATCTCACCTTCCATGAACTGATGCTACAGAGTGTGACTGGTGGGATAGATATATGTAGTTGGGAAGAGGCAAGCCTTTAAATAATCTGGTCCTGTGCCATTTAGGACCTTTAAATCAAACCAGTATCTTGAATTATATCCGGCAAATTGGCAACCAATGCAGCTTGTGGAATGGAAGATAATAGCTCGAGATGTTTCCAAACAGATAGTCACCGTTATAAGAACTTTCTGGCAAGTATAGCAAAATCTGTGAACAATAATGAGTGATCAAAGATGATTGATTGTCTGTTTCTTCTACTTGACTCTTTCCAAGCTTTTGATAGATAGAAAGAAAAATCCTCTTTTAGATGATGTTTCCCAACAGTATCTTTTTTCATAATCAATCCTGAAAGAAAATAATAATAAAATACTTCCCCTGAATGGTGTTTCATATTTACTTATAGTGAGTGATACATACTCTTCCCATACTAATAACCTTGTGTTTCAAAATGCAGAAACATGTTATAGCACGTTTAAGGATTTTCTGATGTTTACTTTAATTCAGGGGTCCCCAACCACCGGGCCGCGGACCGGTACCGGTCCGTGGAACATTTTCTACCGGGCCGCCGGTTTGCTGGGTGCCGCCATCTTGTTTTGATGAGAAAGTGCTTCCAGTGAGCTTTTCCGGTTGGAAAGCGGCGTTTGGGTCCTGAAGGAATCCTCGCACCTTAGTTTCATCGAAGGGGGGGGCGGCTTCGAACAAAACTAAGGCGCGAGGATTCTTTCAGCACCCAAGGCAAGGCAAGCCGAGCGACCGTCCCGAAGCCCATCGACAAAGGTACAAAGGAGGAGTTGAAGGTGGCGGGGAGAAGCGGGGGATGGCTGGCTGGCCGGTCGCTCGGCTCGCCTTGCCATGCGTGCTGATGCCGGTACCGGGCCACTGATCATTTTGTGATGCCGGTACCGGGCC